ATTTATTATTTATCTATATATTGATAGTACTTATATTGTAGAATATTTTCGTTGGCCTTTTGTATTCCTTCTGTTAACTGGTTTTGTTTTGCATTGCGCTTTTATATGATTTTTGCATTGATTTTTCGATTTTAATTTCGTTGTGGAATAAGCTTTTATGTACTTATTGAAAATTAATTTTGTCAACAATATAATTCCAAGAATTATGTTAATTCTTATAGTTTTTTGCTTCCTGATTATTTCATGAAGATAATGAAATTTAATTAATATGAAATTTCATTTATTTAAAAGTCTTTTTATTAAATTCAAGGTGGTCAAACCGGGTTTTTATGTAACCGATGAAGTATATTCGAGCCTATGTACTTCCTTCTCCTCAGATCACATCTTTGTCTTTGTGTGCTAGAGTAAAATACTTAATTTATTAAATATAAACCTCTTCTCATTAATGCACTCTGATATTTATCCCAACGCTTAGCTCTACAGTTTCCTTTCAGCTTTATTTATATATATTCTTTTATATTTTATTTATGTGTTTTCTCTCGCATCTCTAAAATGTATAGACCCGTTTGCTCTATAGCTACAAATATCTCTTGGTGTCTTGGCCAGCTTCCAGGCTAATTATGTGACCTACTTGCCAAAGCGTCAATGAGATTGCTTTAAATTTGTTTGCCTTGGTCAGCAGCTACTTATGCCTCACATACACACATCCACCCACCCACACACAAAATATATACTATATACACATATATATTTGGGTCACATTAGATCGCATAAGGCTGATAACATTAAGCAGGCACTTTCTTCATTTGGCCATGTTTGCTTGCTTGAAATGAATGATGAGCTCTCTGACTATGTGTGTGTGTGTTGTCTAAACATTTTTATGATTCAGGGTTAGAGATAGGATACATTGCTGTCATTCAGCTAGGCTTTACATAATCTACAGCCTTTCAGCAATTAGTTTTTGTTTTTGTATGCCACAGATGATAAGTAGCCAAGTTCTGCAAAGAGTTTGCTTTCAGAGATGGATGGCTGGAAGGATGCTTGATTGACAGGCGTTTTGATAGAAAGTGGGTTAGGGTTGCCTAGGCGAAATCAAATTTAATGCAAATATCAGCAAAATATAGCTGGCTTTAAAGACAGTCTATGATACAGCCCATTCGGTTATTCTGCATGAATATGAACTACAAAATATTTGCATGCTGATAAGAAATTAGTTTTTTGTTATCATTTTCAAATTGTTACGAAATTAAATGAGTTTTTCCACACACAATCATAAACCATAAAATATAATATACATAACCATGCATATATATTTATGCGCTATGAGAGCTTGTAGCCTGTGGAGGCGGGGGGAGGGGCCGGCAAATGTAATTAAAAAACTTTCCAACCGCATCAACATAAATGTATGGCGCATAAAATACTGTGCATTTGACAATTTTTGGTTGACATTTTCTCACTCTGGATGTGTATGTGTGTGTGTGTGTGTGTGTGGGCGTCACAGAAACCGCTAAAAAGTTGGGCGTGACGCATTGTATTTAGCCATTTTGCAGCTAAATTAAATGCTCGAAAAGTTATTATTGTTGTTCATAAATAAATGCCGGCTGGTTGGATATTCATCGATGAGCGGGCGCTCATTTAATGTGTTAAATGCTTTTACGAGCCAACAAGCTCCTGCCCTGTACTCCTTCTATATTTATTGTTTTTGGTAATCGGGTATGTGCGGGTGGGGACCGTACGCAATTTCATTTATTTTAATTGAAGAGAACGGCTTGGCCTTTTGGGCCATTGCTGTGGCCATAAAGTGTGTCCAAAAACCGTTAAAGTGCTCTGAGCAGAGGTAAACGACTGTTAACTACCCTGTAGAGAGCTTTAAGTAAATGAAGAATTCTGTGGATGAACTTAAATTGATGTATGTACATATTATAGGGGTAAAGATAAGCGACTGCTAAAAACCCTATAAAATATATAAATTCTTCATGTATCTAACTTTGTATTTTGACATGAAGTTTATACCAAATTAGTTAAAATCTTAATGGACTACTGGTACCTTGTATGTTAAAGTATCAACAAAGGCATTTATAAGGGAAGTATAATGTAATCTACTTATAAGTATAGAACTAGCTCGTTAAGTGTGTTCGGAAGATATGCTGTAAGAAAATTGAACTAACCTGAAGAAATCTATATATTATATCTATATATATAAAAGAAAGTTGTGTAAAAGTGAAGACTGCTTATAACTTGATTTGGGCTGAACCAATTTTCATGGTTTTTGATTTGTTGKATTTGTCTCCGSAACGAGTTTAGTATAGGGTCTTAAAAATACTGAAAAAATTTGCCGAATACTTGAAAAACGCGGTTTTTTCCCCAAATGTTCAAATTTTTTTTATACCCAGTAGGCTTGGTAACAGTGACAGTTTTGACAATAGTGTAGAAGTAAATAAACAAATGTAGTCAGTCAGTCTACGGTCTCCTGACCTCGAGCAGACCTGACTATTCAAAAAAAAAAA